TTATGTGGACTCTACTAGAGACTTGGTATTTTAATAGATGATATGCTTATATAATATTATTTCCAGAACAAGAAGAAATGGTGTCCTCATTAGTCTCTGAGATTTTCTTTCTCATCCATCAAGGACTATCAACTAATTTAAATGATATATCATTGTCTTCATTCATTAACAAGACACTGTTGTAACACTGTAGCATTTGTGAGAAATGAGACAGGGGAAGAAAGGGGACTTTTTTACCTAGATTCAAGGGGTGATTTCACAGATCACTTTTCTTTGGGAAAGTGTTTAGAGCTCATCTCTAGAGAAACCTCCAAGAAAGACTATCTGTTGGTATGGTCCTGTTCCCCTGCTAATTGTTATGTAAAGATACCCTAGTGAGATAACAAACTTAGGTCTGTAACATCAAGCTAGATGGAAAAGGACCAAGTTGTAGCTAGCTTAAGGAGCAAAGAAATGTAGCCTACATGGTATCATCACCATTACCTCCTTTGACTCTTTGTATTCCTGGACAAGGGCAAATTGACCTCTACCTAGAACATGATGAGTAGTCATTTTTGCAAAACAGAAAATTCCGTGTGAAAGGAAAGATTTTTCTGGATTTCATCTCAAAAGAACTTTGGGAAAAATCCAGACAAACACTCAGATTCAGATTTGTTCATATGGCTGATTAAAACATGATTCTAGTGTGAACTTGTTGTAAGTTCATTATCACATGAACATGTTCCCTTTGCATAAATAAAAATTTTGCTTACCCTGGACAGCTGTCTCTCCAATGTGTGCTATTGTTCCTGGAACCATTAGGCACAAATATTGAGGAAAACTCATCTTCACTATCAGAAAATTAACTCAAAACACACATCTTATTTTCAAAACAATGAGTCATATTATTTTATAAAATGAATAACAAAAACATTAAAGCATCACTGTAGAGTTCATTTCTCTCTCTCTTTCTCTTTTTTTTTTTTTTTTTACTTTTTATCACCCTGAAAATTGCATAAACACACTTAGTTGCATCCAGGAAATTTTGAACTCAAGAATTTTGAACTCAATTTAGTAGTAATATCACGCAGTCCACATGTTTAGATTTAAGTGGAGAATGGTATGCTTCTTGCAGCTGTTATGTATGAATACTTCAAAGTACTTGCCTCTTGAATGATGAAGATTCCATGTCTTATTGATTTTGTTTCTAGAAAACTAGGAGATTTGTTATTTTCTATGAACTAGTGGCATTTGAGAAACACATGTGTAAAAGACTTGGAAAATTTATATGCACGTGCACATGAGGGCACTTTTATTGATCTCATATGAAGTAAAATACCCAGGTTGCTTTTTTTCTCCTGTGGAATTGCCATATTATAACTTTTTCATTCACGGCTTACAACATAGTAGAGAACTAAGTCAGTTATATTTATTTTTAAAAACAGCTGAAAATTATGCTGGCTAGATAATATAATATCTTCTAGGGACAGAAAAATGTGCAGTAAGAACTTTCTTCTTTTTTTTAAATCCTTTTAGAAAAGAAATTGGCTTTGAGGACTTGGGATTATTGTGCATGTGTATTTTTTTTTCTTTGCCTTTTTGCAATGGTGTGGGGGAGGCTTGCTTATAAAGATGAGAAACAGGACTTTAAGGTGCTAAATTGTGACTGTTGAAGGCCCACAATGCAATGCGGTCTAAGCAAAGTTCAAAGACAGGAAAAACATCCCTATATGCGAGGTGAGTGTAGTTTATATCACCAATGCAATGCCCCATGTGTTATTCTGAGGGTTGCAGTTCTTTTCTGGATTTTGAGTTTCTGTTTTTATAAAACAAAAACCCTCAATATAATAATAGGAGAAATTCCTGAAACCACTCTGTGTTATTCAGAGTCAGTAAAAATCAGTCTCATTGGCATTGCTTCCCTCACTGTTTGTGCTTCCACACTCACTCCCTCAAATCTGTAGGCTTTTAAATGTTTTCCTACTTGTCTACATTGAAAACAGAAGTTTCATCATCAAACAATTTAGCACTTGTTTCCAGAAAACAGATTTTCCAAAACAGGATAGATTGTCAATCATTTAAGAAGGTAAGAGTTGTCCTTCTTGGAATCAGGCAATTTAATTCATTGTATTTGAGTATCTTTAACTTTTTGAGTCTGTGTTATGAATCTAGAAGTTTAGTAGACCTACCTATTCAAACTTCACAAGAAAACTCAACCTTTGTGTTTGTTATTGCAAGCAATTTGGATGACTAGAGCAGAGATTACAATGAAAGTCGAAATGCACAGAAAGCTTACTCTGTACCCAAGGGTCTTCTGTGCTTCATATTCATTTAATTTTCTTTGAGTTAGGTACTTTCGTTATACTCTGATTGTGGATGAAGAAATTCAGGGGTCCAGTGCTGTGGTGTAGCAGGTAAAGCCGCTACCTGCAGGGCCAGGATCCCGTATGGGTGTTGGCTCAAGTCTTGGCTTCTCCAGCTCTCTGCTATGGCTTGGCAAAGCAGCAGAAGATGGCCCAAGTCCTTTGGCCCTGCACCCACATGGGAGACTCGGAAAAAGCTCCTGGCTCCTGGGTTCAGATCAGCACAGTTCCAGCCATTGCAGCTACATGGAGAGGGAACCAACAGATGGAAGACTCCCTCTCTCTCTCTCTATCTGTGTGTGTGTGTGTGTGTGTGTCTGTCTGTCTCTTTCTGCTTCTGCCTTTCTGTAACTCTGCCTTTTAAATAAATAAATAACTTTAGGCCGGCGCCGCGGCTCACTAGGCTAATCCTCCGCCTAGCGGCGCCGGCACACCGGGTTCTAGTCCCGGTCGGGGCACCGGATTCTGTCCCAGTTGTCCCCCTTCCAGGCCAGCCCTCTGCTGTGGCCAGGGAGTGCAGTGGAGGATGGCCCAGGTGCTTGGGCCCTGCACCCCATGGGAGACCAGGAAAAGCACCTGGCTCCTGGCTCCTGCCATCGGATCAGCGCGGTGCGCCGGCCGCAGCGCGCCAGCCGCGGCGGCCATTGGAGGGTGAACCAATGGCAAAAGGAAGACCTTTCTCTCTGTCTCTCTCTCTCACTGTCCACTCTGCCTGTCAAAAAATAAATAAATAAATAAATAAATAACTTTAAAAAAATCAGGCAAAAATACCTTAGTTAAGCAACCTGTAAAGCAGTAGGGTCAGAATTCCAACCCAGACAGTGTGGCTTCAGTACTATGACAATTAACTAAGATCCACCAATGTTCATATAAGCTCATCACTCAGGTGCTTCTGACCTTCTCAAATGATGGAAGGGCATAATGAAGCCATCCTAGTTCAATGTTTGGTGGACAATGCTTACTGGTGGGTGCTATATATGCTAGAAAATATAGAGATCTAGAAGACAAGGAGTAAATGTGTTGGTCGCATTTTTTATTTCTGGAAAAGTAGCTCCTGAAAAACTTTTGGTTGACAATCCTAAGACAATAGTCTCTGATACATTAGCATTGTGTTGTCAGATACGATAAGCAATAGCAATGTGTGGCTATTTCAGCTCATTTTAATTAAGATCAAATTGATTTTTTTAAGATTTATTTATTTATCTGAAAGTCAGAGTTACACAGAGAGAGGAGAGGCAGAGAGAGAGAGAGGTCTTCCATCTGACGGTTCACTACCCAGTTGGCCACAACGGCCAGAGCTGTGCCGATCCGAAGCCAGGAGCCAAGATCTTCCTCCAGGTCTGTCACGCAGGTGCAGGGGCCCAAGGAGTTGGACCAACTTCTACTGCTTTCCCAGGCCATAGCAGAGAGCTGGATCGGAAGTGGAGCAGCCGGGACTCAAACCGGCACCCATATGGGATGCCAGCACTTCAAGCCAGGGCGTTAATGCGCTGCGCCACAGCGCCAGCCCCTCAAATTGAATTTTAAACTTGGTTCTTCAGACACACTGGAAACATTTCAAGTGCTTGGTAGTTACATGTGGCTAGTGGCTACTGTGTTGGAAGGTGAAGATGCACTTGCATTATGATGAAGATGTCTGTTGGATGGCATTTGTGTAGGGTCTGAGAGTAAGGGGAATAGAGAATCTGTGTGATGGTTGTGATGAGTAAACAAAGGGCCAACAGTGGCTGTGTTGGGGACGGCTTCTAACAAGACAATGCTGCAACCTGCAGCAAAACCCCTACATGTCACTGTCTGTTCTCTGAGCCTGATTCTGGAAGTTACCAATAAATTTCTTTCTTATTTAGTCAGCCCTCATTGTTTTTTGATAGTTGAAAAACAAAAACAACAAAACTGTCCTGATAGGATATCCTTTTTTTAGCATTACAGAAAACTCAACAACCCACAATTGAAGAAATTATCGATGTTACATATTAATATAATTGCCCTTGAATCTTATAGGATACTTAGGAAAAAGAAGATTTGCGATTAGAAGTATGTCAGCCTGACATTAATGGGGAGGGTAAATAGTTCTCTCTGGCGCCCTCTCGTCCTCCCCCTGCCCCCACTTTCTGTGACCTAGCAGTTTTGGAACTCAAGGGCACTCTGGCTGGTGGAGGTGAATTAACTCTGCCACAATAAAAAAGCCAGGGATTATAAAGGAGGTGCCTCCAGAGAGTTCCATGTCCTGCAGGCTTCAAAGGAATCCATATTTCGTAATAAATAATCTCATGCTTTTGCTAACCAAGGGCCTAATTTTTTCCTTAAACCAGGGAAAACCAAGAATATCCATTAAAATATTTGGGATTCTGTGGCTTGTGCTCTAGAGAATTTCTTGAAGATTTTGTTCTACACTTAAAATGCATAGCCAAATGAGTAACAGTAGCTTCACAATTGTAGCCATCAGTAACAGCCAGCTGCATCCGTCATCTCATATAGACCGTCAGAGTTAGAAGCAGTAACACGCCAACTTGATAAAAGAGCCAGAGTGAAGAATGTGTTGGATTTGTTTGAAAGCACATGTGAAAAAGAGGAACATAGAAAGTATGTGAGAATTGTTATGAAAAGACACACTTGCTTACAGTGGCCTATAAGGACTGAAAGTCATCATATTTGGCGTTGTTTAAAATGGTTGTTATTTTTTAAATTTATTTTCCTCTTCATAAAATATAGAGAGACACAGAGAGAGGGAAATAGAGAGATATCTTCCTTACACTGGTTCACTGGCTGTATGTTTATAGCTTAAGGAGTTGGGCTAGGCTGAAGCCAGGAACCATTTGGTAGAACTCCATTTGGGTCTTCCACATGGTTAACAGGGACCCAAGTATTGGCGTCATCATATGCTGTCTCCCGTGATGCATTGACAGAGCTGGGTTGGAATCAGGGTAGCCAGGACTGGAACCAGTGCTCTAATACAAAATACGGTCTCCCGAGCAGCATCTTCCTGCCCTGCGCCACAACTCCAGACCTGTAGGTTGGGTTTTAATGAAAACACAATCTTTTTTTAAACTTTTATTTAGCAAATATAAGTTTTCAAAGTACAGTTTATGGATTACAATGGCTTTTTCCCCCATAACCTCCCTCCCGCCCGCAACCCTCACAACTCCCGCTCCCTCTCCCATTCCATTCACATCAAGATTCATTTTCAATTCTCTTTATATACAGAAGATCAATTTAGTATATATTAAGTAAAGATTTGCATCAGTTTGCACCCAGTTTGCATTATCATCAGATAATGACAGAACATAAAGTGTAAAATACTGTTTGAGTACCGGTTATAGCATTAATTCACATCGAAAAACACATTAAGGACAGAGATCCTGCATGAGGAGTAAGTGCACAGTGACTCCTGTTGTTGACTTAACAAATTGACACTCTGTTTATGGCATCAGTAATCTCCCTAGGCTCTAGTCATGAGTTGCCAAGGCTATGGAAGCCTTTTGAGTTCACCAGCTCTGATCTTATTTAGACAAGGTCATAGTCAAAGCGGAGGGTCATTCCTTCCTTTAGAGAAAGGTAAGAAATGTACCTCCTTCTTTGATGGCCCATTCCCGTTCTTTCTACTGGGATCTCACTTGCAGAGATCTTGCATTTAGGTCCTTTTTTTTTTTTTTCCCAGAGTGTCTTGGCTTTCCATGCCTATAATACTCTCATGGGCTCTTCAGCCAGATCTGAATGCCTTAAGGGCTGATTCTGAGGCCAGAGTGCTGTTTAGGACATCTGCCATTCTATGAGTCTGCTGTGTATCCCGTTTCCCATGTCGGATTGTTTTCTCCCTTTTTTATTCTATCAGTTAGTATTAGAAGACACTAGTCTTGTTTATGTGATCCCTTTGACTCTTAGACCTATCAGTGTGATCAATTGTGAACTGAAATTGATCACTTGAACTAGTGAGATGGCATTGGTACATGCCATCTTGATGGGATTGAATTAGAATCCCCTAGCACATTTCTTGAAAACACAATCTTAACAAATATTCACAGGCTGAAATGCAAACAGTATTGGAATTATCTAAGAAAGAGCTTTCTTTACCATTAGAAGTTTTCAACAGGGAATGGGCTGACTTGTCCAGTCACTTGTCACTGGAAGGCTTTGGTTAGAGAGTGGATGAACAACAAATAGCCACACTACGGAAAAGATTTCAGAGTATGTGGGATTTCAAAAGCTTCCTTTTACCTAAAGACTTTATGAACCTATGATTATAAATATAATACACTTTACAAACAATGCAGTTTTAGACTGCAAAGATGGCAAATTTTTCCTTAAGACCCAGGGAGAACCCCAAGAAAATCCATTAAAATATTTGAAATTTTGTGGCTGAATTCTCCAACTCAATTGCAATGATTCCCAACTCTTACCATTTTCTTTCTGTTTCCTTTACATATAAAATAAACTGTGGTTTTGACTAAGGTGGAAACTATTAAAATGCTTTAGAGGAAAGGTAAATGATTCTTAAAACTGTTAGAATCTTAATCAGAATATAGCAAACAATTCTTGGGGAATACTAATCCTATAGGCTACAAAGTTTAAAACCTTTCCCTCTAAAAAAAACAATCATATAAATTGTTTTGATTTCCACAGTGTTCCACAGTGTTTCCAAGAATGTTTCAGTCAGAGGCTGAGTACTTGGGGAAATAGAATTATGGCTGGATTTTCCAGGACAGCCACATGTGTGACCAGCTCTGTGCCTATGCCTGGAATCTGTTCCTGGCTCAGGATCAGATGCATGTACAAACTCATACCACATTTCCCTCCTATCAGTTTCCAAGAGTAATTCTTCACAAATGGTGGAAGCCTGCTGTATGTTCTACTCATTTATTAATGACTCAAATAGTCTGTAATTTTTCATACCTTTGAGACTCTAGGTCTAACTTAATCTCTGCCGGTGCTGCTTTTCTCATTTGGTTTCTCTTTTAAGTTGTCTTCTCTCCTATCAAGTACTATAAAGAAATAACAAAATAAAACATTCTTAAATTTTACCATTCTTCCCACAGACTTACTCAACATTTATTTTAAAAACTGAAAAAGAGAGATGGAGATGCAGACTGAGATAATGACAGAGAGAGAAAAAATCTTCCCCAAAATATGAGATCTTCAAAAAGTTCATGAGACGTGCACATTATGAGAAAAAAAATTGCATGGATTTCACAATTTTGCTAAAAGAAACCCATATTTTAATGACATTTTTCCACAAACTTTTTGAGTACCCCCATAAGTTACAACTATGTGGGATTGCTTGAATCATTGTACGTGTGCCTATTTTTTTTTCAGAGTTATACTTCGCCTCCACAACCAAAACCTCTTTGAGGGGGAAAAAAACATCTTGTGTCAAAGTCAAATGTTTTCAGATACTGTAATTGCTCCTGCATTCATTCTGTCACTTAATCAACAAACATCTATAAGGAATATGAAATGCACGGGTGCTCTGATATTGGCAATTATCCATTGTAAATTATGGTCCCCAGAACTGAACAGACCATCCCAGACATGATGACCACCATGGAATAGAACAGGATTTGGAATGCATCTGGCTTTAAACCCAGAAGATGCCTTCTTCTCCATATTATGCCATCATCCTCTGCTGAGAGTTTTTTTTTTTTTTTTTTTTTGACAGGCAGAGTGGACAGTGAGAGAGAGAGACAGAGAGAAAGGTCTTCCTTTTGCCATTGGTTCACCCTCCAATGGCCGCCAGTGCGCTGCAGCCGGTGCACCGTGCTGATCAGATGGCAGGAGCCAGGTACTTCTCCTGGTCTCCCATGGGGTGCAGGGCCCAAGCACTTGGGCCATCCTCCACTGCACTCCCTGGCCACAGCAGAGAGCTGCCCTGGAAGAGGGGCAACCAGGACAGAATCCGGCGCCCCAACCGGGACTAGAACCCGGCGTGCCGGCGCCACTAGGTGGAGGATTAGCCTATTGAGCCATGGCGCCGGCCCTGAGAGCTTTTATGAGAAATATTTCTATAAATCCTGTTCCAAGATTCACTGTAAATGCATTTACATACAAGTCTTTCTGACAAGGCCTAAGAAAAACCACCCTCTGGTTGCACATCAGAAAGAGCTATACTTCTTCTGGATGTTCTACTCACTTTTACTGCATGGACATTTTTGAACATTGCAAAGGATTCTATTCCAAGTTATCCTCTGGTAACCCCTTCTCTCCATATCATAATACAACTATACCCACTGTCCCACCCAATCAGTCATGCAGAGATGACCGATTTCGTGCTAGGCACATGTTGTGCTTAGTTCCTCTTATTGTCCTATGTTGCCTTTCTCTGTGCTTCAATTTCTATTTGTTTTTTACTTACTTATCTTCTTATAATCTGTATTTCTTCATGAATTACTTATATCCTGTCAAAGGCAAGATTTGGAGGATATTGAGATTACCTTAATATCCAACAAGATAGGGTATGTTTATGTATATATATATACACACATACACACATACACACACACATATGTATATATACATATATACACACACATGTATGTATATATACACATATATATGTATATATACACATACCTATGCACACATATATATACACATATACACACAGACAGAGATACAGAAATAGCTAGTACTTTAAAATTCCTTGACTGCGGGGCCTGCATTGTGGCTCAATGGGTTAAGTCGCCAACTGCAACATCAGCAACCAATATGGACATTGGTTCAAGTCCCTGCTGCTCCACTTCAATCCAGCTCCACACAAACGCCCCAAGGAAAGCAGCAGAGAATAGCCCAAGTACATGGTCCCCTTCCACCCATGTGGGAAACTCAGAGAGACTATCAAGCCCCTGCCTTCAGCCTGGCCTGGTCATGCAGCCTTTTGGGGAGTGGGGAGTAACCAATGGATGGTCTCTCTCTTTCTCTGTAACTCTCCCTCTCAAATAAATAAATATTTTTTTAAAAATTCCATGAGTTTGATACTACATATCTATTATTATTGACTAAAATTTCACCTACTTACAGTTATAGCCATTACTGTCATCTTCATTGGTATGATCCTCAGCCTTGTGTCACTATGCACCTAAAATAAAGTCACTTTGATTTTCCTTCTTGAATGATTCTCATAAACTCTTTTTTTCTTTCCGGCTTCATTGTCACTGTTCTTTTCTAAAACTCAGGGCTGGGCTAAGGCAATGAGTCTTCCAAATGTCTTTGTAGGGAATTCAAATTAAGTTTTCTTCTCTACTTACAGTGATTCCCACAGTGACTACCTCTATATCATACACACTTTTTTTGAAAGAAACTTCTCTTCCCCCATCCTGGTGGGCATGTGTTCTCAGTCATAGCTGTCAATTTTTTTTGCTTGACCTCACCTCCACGACACATTAGTTTAACTTGAGATAACAAAATGTTTACGGAGATATTTGGCTGCAGGTAACCAAAAACCGTCTAACAGCGGTTTGATCCAAAAGAAAAAAATAAAAAAGAAATGTATGGGATTCTCATATAACAGGAAGGTTGTAGGTAGATAGCTGTGTCCATTGGTTATAGCAACTCAGAACATTAGAGTCCTTGTCTTCACAAGTCCCTTGGAATTCCCAACATGTGCCTTAATGCATGGTTACCAGTTGGATACTTCAGCTCAAAGCATTTTATCTGCACCAATAGTAAAAGAAAAGCAGCAGAAAGAAAGAGGTACCTCACCAAGTCCAACTCTTCCTTTATCAAGAGACAAAGTTATCTTTTGAAAGTCCTGAAGCACTCTTTCCTTTTTTTATAGAAAGCTTTTATTTAATAAATATAAATTTCATAAGTACAACTTTTGGATTATAGCGATTCTTCTCCCCAATACCCGCCCTCCTATTCCCAAATCATCCCACCTCCTACTCCCTCTCCCATCGCATTCTTCATTAAGATTCATTTTTGGCCAGCACCGTGGCTCACTAGGCTAATCCTCTGCCTGAGGCGCTGGCACTCCGGGTTCTGGTCCCGGTTGCTCCTCTTCCAGTCCAGCTCTCTGCTGTAGCCTGGGAAGGCAGTGGAGGATGGCCCAGGTCCTTGGGCCCTGCACCCACATGGGAGACCAGGAAGAAGCACCTGGCTCCTGGCTTCGGATCAGCGCAGCGCGCTGGCTGCAACACGTGGACCATAGCGGCCACTTGGTGGGGGGAACCAACGGAAAAAGGAAGACCTCTCTCTCTCTCTCTCTCTCTCTCACTGCCTAACTCTGCCTGTCAAAAAGTATTCATTTTAATTATCTTTATATACTCTGCTCTAAGCTCTGCTTAGTAAGAGCACTTTATATACAAGAGTGCTCTATACTACGTACTCTTTCTTTATGATCTCAATGGCATTAAATGGGTTTTGAGAATGACTTGAGTTACCAAAAAGATATTTGGAAATATAAAGAGCAACATTATAAGGCTTAGCTTGAATTAATAATTTTAAACAGCATGGGCTTGGGCCACAATGTCTCTACTGAAACTCACGGTTCTGTTATCAATTAAAAAGTTAGAAATAGAGACTGGAAAGACAGGTGAGCCCCAATCCTATGGAAACACGTTATGTCCCATGACCTCAGCGATGTGTCAATGGATTGGCACAGGATCCAGGCTGGACAACAGAGCTAGGACACAACATTATTTAAAATTTCTGGCTATCGTGTTGTCTGTGCTTACAGATTAGCCTAATAAAGAATCTTGCATCATAGAAGGGAGCTGGCATAGAACAATGTAAAAGCAAGAAATGAAAAAAAAAAAAAAAAAAAGAAAATCCTTATAGCACTGGTTCTTATGGAGTCATTGTTAAGGGAAGTTTCACTCTTGCTTTTGGCTAGAGGATACAATCAATTCTCTATTTCACTCAAACTAGATTAAGTTAGACTTGGCCATCTGCAACCAGAAACTCCTATCTAATCTGTTTAACACATTTCCCTGCTTACAGCATCTTCCAATTTCAATCAATTTCTCAAACACAAATCAGGTGATGCAACAATTAAAAATTCATGATATTTTCTTTATAATCAGTAAGATGAAGTAAAAACAATTGATTTTATTAATACTGTTGCTCGGACACCATACACAAATCCGTATGAAAATTTTCAATACCTCTAAAACATGCCATGCACTTCCATGCCATGAGTTATCTGGGATGCACTTCTCCATCTTGTTTTAGTAAATAGTCCCAATTTGTTCTTTAGGACCCATTTGCATAACTTTGTCTCTATAGCTCACTGGTCCATACAGGTACCCTCATACCAACACATATTCATACCTGAAAAAAGAATTACTCGTTGTGTCCTTTTCTCAACTACAATAGTCCCTCTTACACACCTTTATCACATCAAGGTCATATCATAATAGAGCTACTCCTTGTTAGATATGAGACCCTCAAGGACAGACTGAGAAAACATAATGAATATTGTTTAAAAAAATATTTGTGCAAGAGAAGGAAGTAAGGAACTCTTAAAATCATCTGAATTTTTCTCCCACTTGGCTTATATTTGATTAAATTCCTCAGTGTTTTTTTTTTTTTCCTTTAAACTGTTCTTATCATTAGCTTCTCTTCCTTGGATAACAGTGGCATTTGGTAATTGAAAGGTAGAACTTTACAACTATATATCATAGAGCCAGCTCTTTTTAGATTAATTTTACTGCTATAAAGTATTTGACAATTACATTTTAAAATTGCAACCTATCCTCCCACACTTATGCATGTCTTTAATAACTACTTCTTATGCATTTCTGTAAATGTATTGATAATATGTTATTTTTTTAACTTTTATTTAGTAAATATAAATTTCCAAAGTACAGTTTATGGATTACAATGGCTTTCCCCCCCGTAACTTCCCTCCCACATGCAGCCCTCCCATCTCCCATTCCCTCTCCCATTCTATTCACATGGAGATTCATTTTCAATTCTCCTTATATACAGAAGATCAATTTAGTATATATTAAGTAAAGATTTCAACAGTTTGCACCCACACAGAACATAAAGTGTAAAATACTGTTTGAGTACTAGTTATAGCATTAATTCACATTGGACAACACATTAAGGACAGAGATCCCACATGAGGAGTAAGTGCACAGTGACTCCT